AGGAGGAAATCGAGGTACGGAGAAGTTTTTCAAAATTTTTTCTTTTTTTCGAAGGAGGAAGAGGAGGAGGAAATCGAGATACGGAGAAGTTTTTGCGAAATTTTTCCTCGTCTCTTTAGAGTTTAATTTTAAAAGAATTATTTGTTGGAGAGAGAGAGAAGGAGAGAGGGAGGAATAGAATTAAACTGTCATATTTGTCGGAGAGAAGAGAGAGAGAGAGAGAGAGAGGAATAAAATTTGGATATGGAAAATGGGGCGAAAAACGGAAACGAAAGGGAGATTGGGAACCTGATCCCGATCGATGGCGGGTATGCAAGGGGCAGATGTGGTTTTTAAAAGGGGGCCCGAACGCGGAAAACAATTTCTTCTCGTGGCAAATATTTTACCTCGAAACAGGGCAGAAACACAATGGCAGAAACCTTCTGTGTATCGGCACAATGGTTTTTAACGAGCCTTGCACAAAAGTGTATACGAAAATGTTCGTGCGCGGTATCTGAAAAATATTTACACTTGCGTATATTTTCGTTTTTAACTCGTTTTGAAAAAAAAGGTATGGGACAAATATTGAGATTAATATTAAGAAACTTTTCATTTTTTCAGATTCAATTGATATTCTCGTTAAGAGAAAAGATTATCAAATTTGATATTGTTTCGTTAATTATTGAAACAACAATTTGAAATTCGTCTCAAATATAAACGGATTATAAATTTGAATTATTTTATTGAATTACAATTTCAAATATTATTATTACCATTATTATTATTATCCACGCGAGAAGGAAATTAGATAAGTTCGAAACGAGAGGGGGCTTTCGAATTTTTTTTTTTTTTTCCATACGAAAAAAAAAAAGAAAAGAAAAGAAAAAAGTCCAAGATATTAATTCGAAGAAGATCGGATCGCGTGCAAGCGGGATATTAAATCGACGATATTAATCGTATTATACGTATACGGCGTATAAATTCGATGTTTCGGTGCGTCAGTATCGTTGCCCACGCCAGAAGGAGAAGGATTGACCTTAACCGGTGCTCGTGATAATCCCCGATAAGGGGAATCTAGGCCGAAAAGATTTATTCGCAAACCGAAACTACGCCCCTCCTCCTCTCGATAAATTTTAGGAACCGCAATCTAGAACTGTGAACTCTTCGTTCGTTCGTTAATCGACCCTTCTCCCCTCCCTCCCTCCCTCTTTTTTTTCCCGTCAAAAGGAACACGATTATACGTGTTAAAAATCTACGGTACAAAGGACGTGATAGATTTTACACCTCTTTCCTCTTATCGATATACACAATTCATATAGAATATATGTCATATATATAATTTTTGTCAGAGAAATACGATTATTCTTCTAGGATATATCCCTAGAGATAGACAATTCATGACAAAATGACGATTAACTTTCCCAAATGTATTCTTCCACTTCTTGTCAAGAGGCAACATCTCACCAATCTTATATATATATATATCTTATACAACTTTCTGTATATCGGCATTAAGATAATTAACGAAAAAAGAAAACGTAAGAAAATTAATCCTCCTCCCCCCCCCCCCCTCCCTCTTTTTTCTCAGAGGGATCGTACGATGTCCCACGATATAATTCTATTTAAAAGAACGCGACGAACATTGAAATGAAAATTAACCGTAGGGAATCGCGTTATCTATAAATAAAAAATTCCCAAACCAACGTAGGATTAATTAACCTTGCTAAATGTAATAATTATATCCCCCTTTCTTTCATAGGAGACGTGATGAAATCACAGAAAAAGAAAATTAACCCCGATCTACTTAGCCACCTCACTTATTAATATAAAAAGGGGAAAAGCCGTTTCTCCCCTTTTAATTTTCTTTAAGCCTGGCAAAAGCCCGGAAAATTCACCACTCCCCGCGCGCGCATTATCCGAAGTGGAGGGCGCGCGTGGGTCAGCCGGCGTAGATGAAGCGGAGAGCCGGGGCGAGATAGAACAGAGTGTAAACGGGCGGTCGGATATTTGGTTACAGGGAGGCGGCGGCACGTGCGGCGGAGCTGCGGGCCAGGTGGCGGAGCCCGTGCCGTTGAGGAAACGGGGGAGCAAGCGGGCGGCCACGTGGAAGGAGGGGGGGGGCCTGGCGAGGGCGGGAGGGGATGCGAGGCGGAGGTAGGGAGCAGCAGCGTGGAGGTTAGTTGCTCACCGGTGGCGGATGGCGAGGTGTGCTGCGCCGACATCAACCGCCACCGTCGTCCTCGTCGCCTCCACCGCGCCACCGTGCACCACCTCCGCTGCACCACCCGTCGTCAGCAAGGGGAACGGCGAAAGGATCGAGGACGATGGCCGGGGGAACGAGCGGGTGGCGTGGACGACGATGAGGCCGCGTGCAAGGCTGCCACCCCCCCTCGCAGAGAGATCCATCGCGTTCGGGGGAGCCGTTTGCACCACCACTACCACCACCACCACCACCGCCACCACAACCACCACCACAACCACCACCACAACCATCACCACCGCAGCAACAACGGCCACAACCATCGTCAACGCCGCCGCCGTCAGCACCACCATCTCCGCCACCATCGTAATTGCCGCCATCACCACCACTACTACCACCACCACCACAACCACCACCGCAACCACCACCATCGTCGCCATCCCCCCCGCCGCCCGCGGGACGACGACACACCCCCCCGCGGGAAACGGGACGAGGAGCGCAGGGAGCCCGCCCTCCTCGACGAAGCGGCGGATGGTACCGACGGCAACAAACCTGCCACCGTCACTGCCATGACGAGGGGATGCAGGATCCCGCCCTACCTCGCCACGCTGCTCATCCTCTCTTACACCCTGTTCGGTATAGCAGGTCAGTGGAAACTCACCTTTCTTTCTTTCTTTCTTTCTTTCTTAATAATTCGAGGCGGTGTGATAAGTAAGAGAGGTGGATTGGAAATTTTTTGATGGATGCGAGGAAATTCTTGTTTCTTTCCTCTCCCTCTCTCTCTCCTCTCCTCTCCCTCGTTAAATTAACGTGTTTCGGCGCACAGGTATTTAACGGGGGGGGGGGGGGGTCATCTGGCGAAAATTATGTGACAGGTGACAGATAGAGACGGCGGGCGGCGGATGCAACGTGGGGCTGGCTGGCTCGTGGCTGGCCTTGGCCGCCCTCGTTCCTCGCGTTCCTTTCGCCTGCTTGCGGAAAAAAAGGGCATCGATTTGGGCATGGGAAAATGGCCAAGAATCGCGGAGGATCCTGCGTCGTCCTGCCTTTCGAGACAAGGAAGTGATGCTCGATCGTTGCGCCGTGATCGACACGACGCGAACAGGCCTCCTTTCTTTGCAATCAATCAAATGTTCGTATCGCCGATGTTGAACGACCGAGGACGTGAAAAAAAACCGGGCGTTGTCGAGGCAACGTTTGTCGAAGAAAGGAGAAGGAACCACATTCGATCGCGAATTAATAGCATTGGAGTCAAAAACGTCGACGAAGACGATGGGATACGAGTGCGGTTTTCGAGGGTTCGAAGAAAGGAGGGGGGAGAGAGGGGGAGAGAGAGAGAGGATGTACAGGCACGAGCACTTAGGCGAGCCCTAAAAATACGAGGCCGCCCTTTGTGTTTGCCAAACCTGGAAGCCTTTGGAATTTCTAAAGCGTCCATTCGACAATTCACCTCTCCCTTGTACCCTTCTCGGTTAATGGGATAAACGATGCTTGGCCTTTGGTCGTTACACAACTTAATCGAGCCCGAGCTTTTATCGATCCGCCATAATGATAGCGGGACAATGGATCCTTTCACGATTCCACGATTTTTCTTCACCACCGGTGAATTTCACTTTGTTGGGGGGGAGGCCAACAATCCAAATATTTGACGGAAGAATATGTATATCCAATCTCGAATTTTTATTCTCGAATTCTTTCATAGCACACACACACACACACACACACACACACACACACACACACACACACACACACACACACACACACACACACACACACACACACACACACACACACACACACACACACACACACACACACACACA